GAGTTAGCATCAGGTTATCCTCAAATCTGTAATGTTACCATTACACTGACTTGGGTCCTTAGTTTCTCAAAAAAGAAAGGAACCAAACAGTGGTACCAGGAGCATGATGAAACATTTCAGGAAGTACAAGGAACTTAGAAAATACCAGAGAGACAGAAATTTTACATGTGGAACTCACAAAAGATACTGCCTAAAGTCTCTGCCAAGGGAAAATTTCAATGAGCAAGACAGTTGTGTAATGGGAACTGCAGGATTGGAAGGCTGATAAGAAGGGTGGTGTTCAGAGAAATTAAGGCAAAGAGGAAACTCCATAGCTACGAAGTGCCACAGTAACTCTAGATAGAGTTCCTTTTCCTGCCATGATGAGGACTACAAGGCAAGCACCAGGATGTGTAATTTTACTACAAGTTTCATTTCATTTGCATGCTAGGTTCAAAAGTCATTACATAAGATTAAAATCTTGTATAGTTATTCTTGAAATTCTTTATGTGGCCTATATAAAGCACAATATACAGTCATCCCTTATTAACCATGGGGGATCGCTTCCAGGACACCCCACAGATACCAAAATCTGCAGATGCTCAAACCTCTGAGATAAAATGGTGTTGTATTTGCGTATAAGCAATGCACACCCTCCCATAATCTCCAGATTACATATAATACTTTTCTTTTCTTCTTTTTGAGATGGAATTTCACTCTTGTTGCCCAGGCTGGAGTGCAATAGCCTGAGCTCAGCTCACTGCAACCTCTGCCTCCTGGGTTCAAGTGATTCTCCTGCCTCAGGCCTCCTAAGTAGCTGGGATTACGGGTACTCGCCACCATGCTTGGCTAATTTTTGTATTTTTAGTAGAGATGGGGTTTCACCATGTTGGCCAGAAGTGAGCCACCACACCCAGCCTACTTATAATACTTAATACAGTGTAAATGCTATGTAAATAGCTGCTATACTGTATTGTTTAGGAAATAATGACAAGGCAAAAAGTCTATAAATGTTCAGTATAGACACTACCATCCTTTTTTTTCCCTGAATATTTTCTGTCCACAACTGGTTGAATCCACAAATGTGGAGGGATCACTGTACATGGTTTTGTAGTTATAACCAATTGATTCAAATGTATAATACAATGTATGTGTGTTTTCTGTTTTTAAAAGCAAATACACAATTCTTATAAATTAAATGTGTAACGAATGTGACTGCACTTAGTGCCGAAGTACTTGTGGAAACAACACTGGCTTTGGCATTAATCCTGGTTTCTGTCACTTACCAGGTGTATGATGCTGGGCTAGTTCTACTTACCTCTCTGTTCGCTCATCTGTAAAATGGGATTAAGTCCTAATCTGTAGGTCAGCTGTGAGAAATAAATACGATAAAGCATCTAGTCCAGTGCTAGGCACACGTATGTTGCTTAACACATGGTATTAATCATTAACACAATACAAACAATAGGAGACAATAAATGGTCACTGCATTTTACACGAACATGAGTCTATGTGATGAAGCTAAACTGACTTGTCAGAAATCTTAATCTCTACCCTATGAAGTCATTCCCTAAATTCCCAAAATAATCTCTGCCTGTTTTTATTTCATGCTTTTGCTAATGGGGATCCCTTGCTTAAAACCCACTTTCTTCTCATGTTTACCACTGAGTAGCTGAAACTAAAGGCCCAATTTAAGGCCAGCCTCCTCCAGGCTTTCTCCTGCAGAGTCCCCTTGTAATTCACCTCTCCTTCTAGTACACTGTACCTTGGTTACAGTCGTTGTGCCTTCTGTTTAATTTATTTACCTGTTACTTCTGTCCTTTCTACAAGAGGCTGGTACCAGGTCTAATTCCTGTCTGAATCCCTCACAGTGGAGCACAGTGCCTGGCTTGGGGCACGGGCTCAGCTGGGCATGTGGTAGCAAACTCAGATTTGTTTGGTGTCCCCATGGCAATGCAGCTGGGAGGCAGCTCAATGAGACACTGCTTGAAATGACTGGTCCTACAGAGAAAGGCCCATCTGTCCACCTGACCTCCAGAATGGTTCCAATCTCAACTGCATTAGAGTAAAAGACTGCATTATTTAGAGATTACAATGAGATGCCCCCAGTTAATGGAAATAACATGGCTCTCCCTAGAGCCAAAGTGGTACACAAAATAAATGAGACTAGCCATCACTGGAAGTGAGTTTACAGGATAGGTTGTCTTCCTAGTTAAAGGAAGAAACACAGGGCCTGAAAAGCTAATTAACTTCTAACTGAAGCTGCCCACAGGATTGAGTGATACCACCTATGTTGCATAAAGCTGCTCACAGGATTAAGTCACAATAGAGATACAAAGCACTTAGCTCAAGGGATCCAGGCAGTAGGCATTCAATTTATTATCTAAGCCCCTTGGCCATTCTGTTCTAAGTCAACACTGAAGACTAGCTTATCCACTGTCCTCTTTGAGTTTGGTACACTTGAGTCCTTCCTTCAGGCCCAGGCAGTTTGAGAGGGCCACCCCTAAAGCTGATATCTTAACTCTAGGCCCTGGTGCCTGCCCTTGGGTACAATGCCTTGTGGAACTGGGAACTTTTCTCTGCCATTTTCATCTTCACTTTAATTGCCAAAGGGTGACGAGAACCACAAGCCCTAGAGATGTTACATTTAGTCGGTATTACCACTGGTTCCTTCAAGTTTTTGCTTTGGCAGAGAACAGCTCTTGGTTCACAGTTCCCTTTGACTGTGATCTGCTGCCATTTTCCAAATTCTGGCATTCATGACTCCTTATGCCCTGAAGACTCAGTCAACCCAGACTTTCAACCAGCTGCTCCCAACCTGTATTTTTTTTTTGAAACAGTGTCTTGCTCTGTCGCCAGAGTGGAGTGCAATGGTACGATCTCGGCTCACTGCAACCTACGCCTCCCTGGTTCAAGCAATTCTCCTACTTCAGCCTCCCAAGTAGCTGGGATTACAGGTATGCATCACCGCGCCCAACTAATTTTTGTATTTTTAGTAGAGATGGGGTTTCACCATGTTGGCCAGGATACTCTGGAACTCCTGATGACCTCGTGATCCACCCGCCTCAGACTCCCAGAGTGCTGGGACCACAGGTGTGAGCCACAGCTCCTGGCCCCAAGCTGTATTTTTAACAACTGGTAAAGTATTCATACACAAAGAACATAATCAGTAAATGTTGATCGAATGAATGAAAAGTCCAACCATTTTTCTTCATCACAAAGGCTGATGGAACTGATTCTTGAATCCAGCAGTACTGGGCAGCAGGTAAAATTCCTGCTCACCTCAGTTTAAATTTCAGAGCCTCTGAGGATACAGGTCTAGCCTTAGGCAAAAGATGAAGGAAGAAAAGTTCTTGGGTTCTACTGATTTTGGATCTCCTGAAAAAAGCTCCAAGATAATTTTTCTTCATTCTCTAAGCAAAACCAGAATCTCTAGAGAGTGTGAGATTACTCACAGGGGATCCATGCTGTAGCACGCACATCCCCAGAGCAATGAAGGGGCCAAGTGAGCTCTAGGTCCGCTCCAGGGCCTAGGGGGCTGGCATCTGCAACCATTAAAACCATTATCTGTTCCCTTACCAAATCAAGCCCAAGACTTTTCTGTCTTAGCATGAGAAGGATTAAGTTAGGACATTCTAATTTTTCCTATGTAAAAGAGACAAAATCAAAAGAAGAGGAAGTGACTATGGAACACCATTTTTTAAAATGAAAGAATGACTTATTATTTAGACTTGGGTGTTGGCAGACATTGAGTCAAAAAATGAACAACGAATAAAATGAGCCTGCCACTTCAAGAAAAACAACTGATAGTATTTGTGGTCAGTGATATAAAATGCAAGCTTTCAAGTGAACATTAGAATTTTGAAACTTTTATCTATCACAAGCTTGACAGCTTCCAAAGACTTTTCTGGTGAAATTGGTGGTGATATTAACAAATGTTATTTTAGGCTGGGCGCGGTGGCTCACACTTGTAATCCCAGCACTTTGGGAGGCTGAGGTGAGCGGATCATGAGGTCAGGAGTTCGAGACCAGCCTGGCCAACACAGTGAAACGCTGTCTCTACTAAAAATGCAAAAATTAGCTGGGTGTGGTGGCAGGCTCCTGTAATCCCAGCTACTCAGGAGCCTGAGGCAGGAGAATCTCTTGAACCTGGGAGGCAGAGGTTGCAGTGAGCCAAGATCATGCCATTGCACTCCAGCCTGGGTGACAGAGCTAGACTCCATCTCAAAAAAATCAATAAATAAAAGGCCAGGCGTGGTGGCTCACGTCTGTAATCCCAGCACTTTGGGAGGCTGAGGCGGGCGGATCACAAGGTCAAGAGATCGAGACCATCCTGGCTAACATGGTGAAACCCCGTCTCTACTAAAAATACAAAAATTAGCTGGGCATGGTGGCAAGCGCCTGTAGTCCCAGCTACTCGGGAGGTTGAGGCAGGCGAATCGCTTGAACCCGGGAGGTGGAGGTTGCAGTAAGCTGAGATTGTGACACTGTACTCCAGCCTGGCAACAGAGTGAGATTCCGTCTCCAAAAAAAAAGTTATCTTTTGGTATGGAAAACATTTGGAAGATATACAAAATTCAGTGAGCCTATTTTCCAAATGACCAAAGCATGATGGATTCAAAGCACTGGATTGACAAATAGACTTTAACATAAATGAGTATGAAGACTTCACTGATAATGGGCTCAAATTCAAAATTGGAAATTATCTGGAAAGGCTACTGAAACACCCCTCCCCTTTTTACCTATATATTTGTGTAAGACTGGATTTTTTTCATATACTTCAATAACAACAATGTATTGCAACAGATGGAATACAGAAGCATATATGAGAAGTCAGCTTTAGTCTATTAAGCCAGATGAAAAGACATTTGCAAAAATGTAAACAAGACCATTCTTCTAATTTTCTTTTTTTCTTTTTTTTTTGAGATGAAATCTTGCTCTGTTACCCAGGCTAGAGTGTGGTGACAGGGTTTCACCACGTTGGCCATGCTGGTCTCAAACTCCTGACCTCAAGTGATCCGCCTGCGTCAGCCTCTCAAAGTGCTAGCATCAGAGGCATGAGCCACCACACCTGGCCATTCTTCTAATTTTGTTTTGGAAAATACAGTTTTCATTAAAAATTGTTATTTATGTTAACACAACAGATTTAATATTGTCTCTCTTAAATGAATTAGTGATAAAATATTTTTAAACTTTCTCGGCTTTAATATTTAATTTGGTAAATATCAATAGACAACATAAACAAAAGCTCTTTGGGTTCCTCAATAATTTTTTGGAATACATAAGGGTCTCCTGAGGTTGGAGGATTGATTGCTCAAGCCCAAGTGGCAGAGGTTGCAGTGAGCCAAGATTGCACCACTGTACTCCAACCTGGGTGACAGTGACAGCCTGTCTCAAAAAAGAAAAAAAAGATAGCTATTTGGGGCATGACTCTATTTTCTAGCTTGGCCTTTCTGTCCACAATTTTGGAATAACCCAGTGCCAGACCAAACAGCTGTCAAGGACTACTCTGAAGCTGGATTGAAATTCCAGCACTAAACCTGGCCTCATTCACCCCATGGATTCTTTTTCATCTCCAGAGTCTTTGTATGTTTATACAGGATTTCCCCAAGGCACATGCTGTATCTAACCAGCCGCCAAGCAAAAGGTCCCAAATTCTATTCTGAAATGGCCCATTAGAGCACTCTACTCTCAAGGCACCCAACTCCAAGAGCCTCTCTGTCACCAAGGCAGGCAGAGGACAACAGCAGCAGCTAAAATTCCCTTTCAGAAACAGAGGAATTAATCTTCAGCCTAGAAAAACTCACTGGCATAGTTATCTTCGCTTACTCTTCCATTCATCCATTCATTCCCTCATTCAACATTCTCAGAGCCCCTACCTCCTGCCAATTGCACTAAGTGCTGGGAAACATCTACTCCTTGTAAATTCCTACTCATTCCCTAAGATTCTGGTTAAAAGTCAATGAAGCTTTTGCTGGTCAAGCTAAGCAGAATTGATTCTATTTAGTATAGCATCATTGAACTGTGCCATAGATGTATTCTGTCTGTCCCTAAATCCCTGATAGAATGTGAGCTTTCTGGGGGCAGGGTATAGACCTTGGTCATTTAAATATGCCCAGCAACCTAGGCTTGGCTTGGGCCTGGCACATTGCAGGCATTCACTGAATAAATAAATGAATGCTTAAAGCCTATATGGCTCATGTCTCAGCTGTTCAATACAAAGGCAGAATTTAAAACATTGCCAAACCAGTCCCTCTCCCAACATGCTATGAGTCACTCTGAGCCACTGATGAGAGGGCAATCAGTAAGAAGAATCTCAGACCATTCTAACGCTAACAAGAGCTAAGAGAGCTGACACAACCCCACCTCAGTGCCCAGGAGCTTTTATCCAAAATTCCATGCAGGCTGTGGGCTCAGGCCCTTCCAGGAGGTAGAACAGCTGTTTCACACTGTGTCAGTGGAGAATCCTTTCTGGTTCTACAAGCTCAGTTGGGAGTGAGTCTCTCTGACCCTAGTGACCTTAAACCTAAAACTTTCTCAGCTTTAATATCCCCACAAGGCTGGCTCATCCACTGAACTGCCTCCTGGGTGCAATCAGCCACAAGGAGGGCCCAAGCCGCTGATTTACCAGAATCTTCAGGTCAAATTGCCACTCTGCTACTCTAACCCCAGCACAGGTTACTCATGGAGGGGAGAAGAGCATGAACTTTGGGGATGAGACACACAGTTGAGTTCAAATCCCAGTTGTCATTTTCCATATGATCTGGAATATTACTCAATTTCTTTGAGCCTCAATTTCCTCATTTGTGAAATGAGAATAAAACTACATTTTACAGAGTTGTGAGGAAAGAAGGAAATAAATTATGTAAAGTACCTGGCCTGGGCCTGGCACAAAGTAGGTGCTCAATACCCGTTAGTTTCTTTCCTCTTCTGCCCTGGAAGAAATGACAGGGAAACTAAGTGAGACTTGCCCAAACCAAATTTATTTCTTGAAGCAAAGGACAGAGAACCCAGACAAGTGACTTCAAGGCCTCTTTGAACCCCCAGCTCCATGTTTTCTGACTATAACTTCCTAATGAAACCTTCCATGTTTGCAGTTCTACCAGCCCCTTCTTTCTGCCTTTGCTTCCCCACATCACTTTTCAGAGTAGATACATCTACTTATAGCTCCCACTTGTGCTAAGCATGCTAAGAATGGAGGGGGAAATAAAGAGAGCTAATGGGCTTTGGGGAATGAAGGGGAGATGGACAGCATCATGTTGACCCACAGGCTGCACAACCATGCAGCTACTGCGCTCAGAGCCACCCAGAGTTTGAAGGATGAAGGCAGGTACATAGGCACAGAACCAAAGGCACAAACACAGGGCCCTTCCCAAGATGTAGCATGCCTCTCCTCAGTCCTTCTCTGCTTCTGCACATCCTGCCAAGAAGGACCAAATACATAAAGTAGTCACACCTTCACATATCCTGTTTCTTCTGCCTCTTTCTCCTCTTTTTTTTTTTTTTTTTTTTTTAGGCTGATTTGGGTGTTACATCCTCTTAAGTCCATAGGAAGAATGAACTTGGCTTTGCTCTGGGATACCCTAACACTTTTTTGTTTAAAAACATATCTCTAGAATAGAGCTGATCATATATATCCTAGTGGGTAAGATCTGTCCTCTCCACAATACTGTGAGCTTTTCAAGGGCAGAGCCTGTGTCCCACAAGTCACTATATTGCAGTCATTCAGCAAAGGCTATAGCACAGAGCAGGCACAGGTTAGTGTTTGAATACACAATGGAAGATTGGCAGCTGGCGAATATCATTAATAGATCAGAACTGGGGGAGGGTTTTTTATTCTGTTTTAAACTAAGGTTGTTTCTATTCTTGCTTATGGGAAAGCTTCTCTCTGGGAAGCCTGTTGTCCCTAGGTCTCCTCAAAGATCCCCGACACTCTCAATTCAGCAGCTCTCAGACCCAGCCAAATATTAGAGTCACTTGGGACAATTCAACAATAGATACCTGGGATCCAGACCTGGAGACTGATTCTGTAAGTCTGGGCTAGGGTCCAGCAAAGCACAGGGGATCTGATGATTATTAGGCTGGAGCAAGGGAGAGGTGGAATCAAGCAATCACAACTGTCTCTCCCACTGAGAATTACTTCCTCACACGCTATCAGAGAAGGTACTGAAGCACACCATGTTCTCTTTCCTGCTTAAAACCTTTCACTGACTCCTAACCACCTACAGGATAAGGCCCAAACCTCTTGGCGTGGTTTTCAAGAACGCTGCTAGCCCCTTCAGCCTGATCTCTCCCCATTCTCCAAATCAGTGGTGCTTGCCCTGGGTCTTTGTATAAGTTCCTTCCTTCATTTAGACTCCTTTCTCCCACCTTGTCCTCTGGAGAACTTCTATACAACCTTGAAGACTCAGCTCTGAGAAGCATTCTCTGACCCATCTTCCTCCAGGGTATGTCTTGGGTAGCCCCAACACCAAATATCTACAATACTCGTAGCTACAACTTGTGTTAACCATACAGCACTTGTTAGACCCTAACATTAACCTTGTAAGACTGGATTGTCATTTTATACATGAAAAAACAAACCAAGAGGCTGAAACACTTCCAAAGGCTACTTAAATAGGGTCCAGGATTTGAACCTTTATTCAGAGGGAGCCGATGCTCTACCTCCTTCTAGCATTACTGCAGTTACTATACACATATTCTCTAGACTATGAGCCCCTTGTGGTAAGGGACTATGTCTGATTCACTTCTGCAAGTGCAGCTAGCCCAGGCCTGGCAGAGCTGGGAGCGGTTAGTATTTGCACAATAAATGCCATGTGAGAGTAAGACTGGGCATCACAGCATGCGAATGGCTGGCCTAAATGAATGAATAACTGCCACCCTGGCCCAGTTGTGGGGGGGCAGATAAGAACAAAACGGTAGAATCCTTACTTATTATTATAATTTAGTTTAACAGCCATGTATTCAGTAAGTAAGGACCACACACAATACATGACCCCCCAAATGAATTAAAATATAGACCCTGCTCTAAAAAATTCCAGATGAGGTAAGTAAAGGTGTTAGGGTCATCTATCTGATATTAGAAATTAAAAATTTAAAACTCAGTTGGGTGCAGTGGCATGCACATGTAGTCCCAGCTATTTGGGAGGCTGAAGGAGAAGTACCACTTGAGTCCAGGAGTTTGAGGGCAGCTTGGGCAACACAGCAAGACTCTATCTCTAAATTTAAAAAATAAAATAAAACCCCAAGTCTTCATTTTCAAAGGTCTTTTGACATTTTTACACAGCAAGTCTCTACTGGCTTGCAAAGAACCAGAGGTGGCAGAGATCCACTCAGTATCATTTCCTCCCTCTGGCAATAGAAGAGGTACAGACTGGGCAGGCAGTGATTCTAAGGGGGAGGTCCCCAAAGACAGTTCTTATCCATCTGTTCACCCCAAATAAAGGTCCTGACACAGAAGTTGTTTTGGTAACTGCTGAGTGAATTAAACATAATGAGATGGTTTTATTAAAGATACTGACTGATCATTTGCTCCAATTTCTTGAGGGAGCAGTGGGAGAATTGGATCTCTAGAGTCCCTTTAAACTAGACCGGGCAAAGTCCCAGAGAATGATGTGGAGAGGAACAAAAGGTGGCGAAGGGTAGGATGAGCTCACCTCTCCTCACCAACTGCTGGTTTACATCCTAGCAAGTCTCCTGGGGACTTACTGAGTGTTTACCTGGATTACACACTGAGTGGTCTAAGAGAAAAGACAGACAGGAGCAGAGCTAGTAGGTCAGAACACTCAGGCTTTGTATGGCCACCTGGCACAGCTCCTGCCACCTCTAACTCTTAGGTGAGGTGCCTATCTATGTACTAGCTGCTACACAGGTTGCTTCTCTTGTGAAGTATTATTATATTTTTATTTTTATTTTTGAGACGAAGCTTCTCTCTTGTTGCCCAGGCTGGAATGTAATGGCTAGATCTTGTCTCATAACAACCTCTGCCTCCCAAGTTCAAGCGATTCTCCTGCCTCAGCCTCCCAAGTAGCTGGGATTACAGGCCTGCATTACCACGTTGGCTAATTTTGTATTTTCAGTAGAGACGGGGTTTTTCCATGTGGGTCAGGCTGGTCTCTAATTTCCAACCTCAGGTGATCCACCTGCCCCGCCTCCCAAAGTGCTGGGATTACAGGCGTTGAGCCACTCGCCCAGCCTATTATTTTTATTTTCTTTTTTTTTTTAAGATGGGGTTTCACCATGTTGGTCAGGCTGGTCTTGAACTCCCGACCTCAGGTGATCCGCCCACCTTGGCCTCCAAAGTGCTTGGATTACAGGCATGAGCCACCGCGCCCAGCTATTTTTTTTTTTTTTTTAAAGAAGGAGATAGGGTTTCACTCTGTCCCCCAGGCTGGGGTGCAGTGGCATGTTCCTTGAAGTCCTGGGTAATGTGAACTCCTGGGTTCAAGCAATCCTCCCGCCTCAGCATCCCAAGTAGCTGAGACTACAGGTGTGCATCCATGCCCAGTTAAGTTTTGATTTTATTTTTTTATAGAGCCAGAGATCTCACTATGTCACCAAGGCTGGTCTCAAACTTCTGGCTTCAAGGGATTCTCCTGTCTCAGTCTCCCAAAGTGCTGGGATTACAGGTGTGAGCCACCAAGGTCTCCCGTGAAGTTCTTGATGGAGTCAAAGAGAAGCAATGTGCCCAGAGTCACAAAGCTAGGAGGCTGAGCTGGGAATTCAATCCAAGTCTCTAAACACTATATACCCCACTGCCTCCTTCAATTGCTTTTTCAGTTGTTTTTTGTTGTAGTTGTTGCTGTTTTTCCTTTGCTAATAAGGTGGTAACTGTTTCAGTATTCTTGTGATGTAAACAAGGATTTGGATTGTTAGGGAACAGATCAATGTGGTTTAGTGGCCTGAAAAAATTGAAAGTTAAGCCATTTGGGATCCCAGTTAAGCTCAAGGTCTTGCTTTAAATGTATACAGGTCATGCCAATGAGTGAAAGGGCCTGGAGAGAACCAGAAGAGGCCTAAGGAGCATATGCTATCTAAAGGGGCCAAATGCTACTCAGAGATTACTGATTAGCGCCTTGTGGAAAAGTGGGCCCAGCATCACCGTATTTTTAGTTTAAAAAAGAGCCCCAAATATGTGTAGGAAACCTTTTGATCTGTAAAATATTGGCTCAAATGAAAACAAAAACAGAAACAAAACAATGTGTGAGCCTAACAAGCCTGTGGACTGGAAGTGGTATTATCTGTCACCTTTGGATTCAGTTTGGTATACGACACTGAGTTTCACCTTCCTCAGCCACTCTGTATACGTAAGACAGGATTATGAGTGGCAGGGGGAGCCAGAGTTCCTCACCAAAGACATTCCTATAGGCAGAACAATGTCTTTGGTGAGGAACTCTGGCTCCCACTGAACACTAATCTTATACTAGGGGCTTTGCATCATGGCGCAAAAGCCTGCTTCCAGACCCCACCCCCAGTAAAAGTGGGACATAATCAGAATCGAATTTACCAATTTGTTTCCCTTCTTTGTGGCTGTAGTTAAAAAAAAGCCTTGTTAAAAATCCCCTAAAGTACATAGGAATCCTTTTCTTTTCTTTTGTCTGACACCTATAGTTGGAGTCATTTGGGCAAATGTTTAGTTGCTCTGAGTTTCTGTTTCTTCATCTGAAAAATGGGGTAATAATATTTATATCCTCCAGTTTGTTGATCAACATTTGTTAACCACCAGGCACAGGGGTACAACGGTGACTGACATGGCACCTGAACTCGCAGAGTTCACAAATAAAAACAAATAATCACATTAATAGTTAATTCATCATTTGTGCTAAAAGCTGAGGAGAAATACAGGGGAAGTGGGAAGATTAGAAGTAAGCTATGTTAAGTGCCCAGCACAAATGAATGAAGCAGGTCAAGCAGTGGAGTAGATAAGAATATGGTAGGAACCTAGATTTCAAAGAAATCAATGAAGCTTCGAGCCCTTGGCAACGTTGTGTCCTCAATAAAACCTGAATTGTTGAGCCATCATCCAAGCTTTTTAGCATCTCTATGTGGCAGAGACCCTCAAGTATTCTATGGTCTGCTGAATGGGAAGAAGAGAAGACAACTCCTCCTTTTAGGACAACGGCACTCCCAGAAGGGCCCAGGGTAGGCTGGTGGGGGAAGGGGCCTCAGGGTTGGAAGCTAGACCCAGTAGGGGTCCGGGTTACAATGTGGGGAGTCTCCTATGGAACCAGTGTCAGCCTAAGATAGGAGATGGGGATGGGGGTGAAGGTGGAGCTTCTGACACTCAATAAGTGGTGATATTTTCATGAATTAAAAACCTTATTGTGATCTGAGACACAAAGGAAATCATCATGAAAACTGGGTTACAATAAGCACAGGTTCTGGACTGATTCATTTTCTCTCTCATTCACCTAGTTATTTCTGTTCTGTGTTAGCAAGGTCCTGGACGAGGCGTGGAGGATCAGAGACAGATGGCATAGCCTGTACCCCTGTGGAGTTCACAGTCCAGGGCAGGTAACAGACATATCAACAGAACGTTTCATCACAGAAAGGGGAGCGATACCAGAGGGAGGCACAGAGGGCTGTGGGCACAGAGGGGGCACCTGACGCAACTGGGGAGGTCAGGGGAGGCTTTGCGGGAAGGTACCCCAAACGGCAATCCCACTTACATGCACAATTCCAGAGATTCTACTAGAAGGCTGTCAAGAGCCATGCCTTCTGGCTGCACCAGCCTCCCAGAGTCCCCTGCTGCCCGATGCAGTGTCTGCAGAGCCAAACGCATCTTCCGCCACGCCTCATCCTCATCCGGCGCCGCATCCGACCCTCCAAGACTCCTGCAGGAGCCCGCCTTCCTGGGCAGGCTCAGCCAAAAGACCAACTCAAAACTCTTTTGTCAGAGCAAGCTTAGGGACAGCCACCCAGCCCCGAGTGCCACAACCCTCCCCGAGCAACCACAGCCCCTGTCACCCCCGCCTCTTAGTGAACGCCGGCAGGGTACCTCCCATTATCGCCTTTGCTCAAAGGAAAGTGACCTTCTTCCAGGTGGCAAGCTGGAAGCTTTGGAGAATCCTCCCACTGCACACGCTCAGCAGGATTCTCCAAACCCGGGATGTGGGGGTCGGGCGGGCCGCCTTGCGGGGCCGGGAAGGGGAGAAACGGCAGGTTCTGCTGGGTTTCCACCTCAGTGCGGAAGCCCCACCGAAAAGTCTTCCGGGCAGCCCGGCGTCTGCTCCAACTGCTCTGCTGGGCATGGCGAGGAGGCGCCAAGAGACAGCTGCTGAGGGGGCCGCGGCTGCAGGCAGCACAGGGGGACGGAGTGGGGCCGCCCCGGGGGAGAGGGAAGAGGTGCAGCCTTCCAGCCCCAGCCCCCCGAGTGGCCTGCGGCTGAGGGAGCAGGGGGCCCAGGGGGAGGTGGCGGCCGAGAGTGGAGCTGCGGCCTCGGGACCACAGCCTGGTCCCAGCGCGGGTGCACGGCCAGAACGTTAGTCTCCGCTCCGGCCCGGAGGCGGCGGGGAGGGGGAGCAGCTTCAGCCTAGCCGCAGGAGCGCGGACCGAGCCTCGGCTTTGGACAGGGGTCCAGGCTCCATTCCCGCCCCTGAGGAGACAGCCTCGGCGCCGGACCCGGGGGAAGGCTGCTGCCCCAGCCGCGGCAGGACGGCCCATCCCCAACCCCGCCCCACTCCCGCTCCCGCTCCGGAGAGGTGAAAGCGCCCGAGCCGCCGAAGTCGCCTCGCTCGCTCCTACCTGCGGGCCGGGCACCACGCTGGGTTCGTCGTCCTCTGTGGGGCCGTCGCGGTCGGGCTCCGCCGGCGCCTCCGGGGGGCCTGCACCCGCTCCCGCCTCCAGACTCGGCGGCGGCGGAGGCTCGGGCGCCTGGGGCTTCTGCGGCCCCGCGGCCCGAGCCCGCTCGCGCCTGCCCGCGCCGCCGCTCGGCCTGCTCCGCCTCCGAGTCATGCTGCCGCTCGCGCCGCTCCCTCGCCCCACTCGCCGCGCCGCCGCCGCCGCCGCCGCTCCCCGCACAGGACAACAGCCAATATGGCGGCGCCCGGCTCCCCCTCCGCCTGCTGCCAACAGGTCAGAGGGTACGCGGAGTCCGCGCCGCCGCACTAGGCCCCGAGGCCGCCTGCGCCATTTTGAATAAGGTCACCACCCGGAGTTCCGTGGGAGAAAAGCCTGGTGGGGAGACGCCTTTTCCCCCTATCCTGGACGGGAAGGATGCGACCCGCCGGAGGAACACGTGTAACGCGATGGTAATAGCGAGGCACCCCCTAGCACTTAATAATTGCCTGTTAAATGGAGGAGTGAATTAATGGATGTGTGAATTTAGTGTTACGGTACTTTCACACCTGTCGTCTGACTCCTTCTTCCAACAGCACAGCTACGCAGGTACAGATCATTCCCATTTTGCAGGGGAGAACTATTGAGGCAGCATAAAGGCCTGCAAAAGGTTGCTGTACGTCATCGAGTCAGAACTCCTGGGCTCCTGGACGGCCTGAGTTGAAAGGGACGAAGATCTTTATTTACAACGTGTGGTCTACGGGGAGTCCAGCGTTCTGTCCTTGGGACAGCGGCACTCAGACCTGACTCCTTGTTCCTGAGTCTGAAGGGGAAGGTGGACATGTAAGTACATAGCACAACCAGTGTGATAAAGATGAGATGACTAGGTGTTTCCAAAAAAGTAGTATGTGCAGGAGAGGATTTTGGAGTGGTAAACAAAAGAGAATTAAAAAAAAACTTAATACTATGTATTTAATTGTTAAAAATGGGATTTCCCCCGCTCCTTTCTTTTTGTGAATATACTGCATAATACATGCACATGGCACAGATTTAAAAAAGTAAAAGTTTTGGCTGATCCGAAGGTAGTGAGTTATCTTGACTGTTCACAGTCAGTTCCAGATCGAACTCCTTGTTCTACTCTTTCCTCCCTTCTCACTATTGCGCTTCAGTAGTCTTAAGGAAAAAAAGTAAAAGTTTTGCGTGAAGTCAGCCTCATTCCTGGGCTATGCAGTTTGAAACTGTGGTTTATGGAGAGCTGCTGTTGGCATCAACAGGGGCAGAATCCTGACATTGGCTTCCTAACCCATGGGGCAAGAGCATTTGGAAAGGAAGAGCTATATGGAAGGCCCTGGAGCACTCCTTAACTACCAAGAAAATAAATCAAAAATAGTACCTTGCAGGGTGCAGTGGCTCATGCCTGTAATTCCAGCACTTTGGGAGGCTGAGGCGGGTGGTTCACCTGAGGTCAGGAGTTTGAGACAAGTCTGACCAACATGGAGAAACCCCGTCTCTAAATATACAAAATTACTCAGGCGTGGTGACACATGCATGTAATCCCAGCTACTTAGGAGGCTGAGGCAGGAGAATTGCTTGAACCCAGGAGACAGAGGTTGCGGTGAGCCAAGAGGGCACCATTGCACTCCAGCCTGGACAACAAGAACAAAACTTTGTCTAAAAAAAAAATGGTACCTTATCTCACCCAGGGATTGAAAATGCCACTATCAAAGATTTGAAAGATGTAGGGTGAGTCCCATCACAGCACCATTACCTCTTCAGTTTGGCCAGAATAGAAGAGAGATGGCCTTGAAGAACAACAGAGCATTATGATAAACTTATTTATTCTGGTAAGAACCCCAACTGCAGGCACTGTTCCAGATGTGGTCCTTCTTGGGACAGATCAGCACAGTTGTTGGGCTCTAATAGGCAACGAGAGCTGGTCAATGCTTATTCTGTAACAAACACCAGGAGTCATTTGCATTGATCTGGCAGGGGCAGCAGTAAACCTTCACTGTCTTGCTTCAGGGTATGTCACTCTCTGGACACAGCCACTTAGTTTACAGGGATTTTTTTTTTTTTTTTTGAGACAGTCTCACTCTTTCACCCAGGCTGGAGTGCAGTGACATAATCTCAGCTCACTACAACCTCCACCTCCTGGGTTCAAGGAATTCTCATGCCTCAGCCTCCAGAGTAGCTAGGATTAGAGGTGCGTGCTACCACACCACTAATATTTTGTATTTTTAGTAGAGACAGGGTTTTGCCACGTTGCCCAGGCTGGTTTCGAATTCCTGACCTCAGGTGATCCGCCTACCTCAGCCTCCCAAAGTGCTGGGATTACAGGTGTGAGCCACTGCACCCTGCCAGTTTATAGGGATTACAGGCCAGATGCCATTGCACTCCAGCCTGGGCAACAAGAGCAAAACTCCATCTCAAAAAAGAAAGACAAGGGAATTACAGATATCCTGGATGACTTGGTAAGGCATGATGTATGTGCAGGTGGACGGATAATAAACCTCACAAATATATAGGGGTCCATCTACTCAGTAAGTAGAGGAGTCGGGTATGTCAAGATATCTCCTACAAAGTGAAGGAAGAGCTGCTGTAGATCACACTCCCTACTAAGGAAGAGGTGCAATAATACTTGGGTTTGGGCTTGTTTAGACCTGGTAGGTAACATAAATGTATTTAGGTACGTTATTTTGACCAGTTACTGGGTCACTTGAAAGCAGCCAACTTTAAGGCAGGATCATATGAAAGGAGAAAGTTTTCTTGCTGGACCAAGCTGCAGAATAAATAGTTCTGACTTTGGCCTTAATACTCAAGCATTGGATTTTGGAGCAAAGTTACACTTTCCTTCAGCAAATGGTTATTCTCCATTTTAGAAATAGCTCCTGGCTTGCTTCAGGGGTCCAGTGAAATTGGATGCCTGATCCTGGCATACCAGGTGACCATGTGACCTGAACGGAGTGTTATCTGATCTACTCAGCCATAAAATCAGAGGTGGGCAGCAACACCCTGTCTTCAAGAGGAAGTGACATGTGTGGGCTGGGTCCAAGCAAGTCCTAAAGGACAAGTAGTAGCCTGAGCAAACTACTTACATTCCTCTCCTGCCACTCTCTTCTCCATTCTATCCTTTAACCTGGATCAATGGTTTCATGAACAGTGTAATGACGAGTTGACTAAGGAAGAAAAATCCAAAGCCCAGTTTGCAGATGGCTCTGCATGGTGTGCTGGCTCCAGCCAGAAGCAAATGGCTAGGATGTTCTAGTCTTCCTCAGAGAGGGCCTAAGGGTATAGAAAAGGGAAATCCATGCAAAAACTCTGAAATAAAGACACATCAATTCCTGGCCATTGGATCATGATAGTCTCCTGTTGAAAGACTTGGGGGAAAAAAGACTCCAGGCTTAATGACAGGAAGTTTTGAGGAACAGGGATGTGGAAAGATTGTCCAGAATGGCCTCAGAACATAAGGTTATTTGTGTCCTAATTGAACATTCCTCAAAAGAGCCTCTTAAAAGCCCTTCTGTGGCTGTCAGACTGTCTCTTTCCAGCTATTTAAGAGCTTTCTCAATGGCTCCATGAGAAAACTGGCCCCGCAATCTGGACTGTCTCCTCCCCGAGGCTGGCTGACCTCTCTACTCTCAGTGCCAAGTCCAATTTGCAGGAACCAGCCAGACCCCTGTGTGGAACCTTACTCTGAGGGGCACACCCAGCTCTCTTCTAGCTTTTTTCACCATCCTAGCCAACATGGTGAAACCCCATCTCTACTAAAAATACAAAAAATTAGTTGGGCATGGTGGTGTGTGCCTGTAGTCGCAGCTACTTGGGAGGCTGAGGCAGGAGAATCTCGAACCCAGGAGGTGGAGGTTGCAGTGAGACCCAAGATCATGCCACTACACTCTGGTGAAAGAGTGAGACTCCATCTCAAAAAAGAAAGAAAAGAAAAGATAAATGAAATATTTATTTTCCTACTTGATCCCTCCAGAATTAGTTCAGAAACTCTTATGGAATGTTCTTACTTTCATGGAATACAGTTGTATACAAACTAATACATTTGTATTAGTTCCATATGAATTTATTTTTCTTATAACAGAACACAATTGGAAACATTGTTTATATCACCAAGTCTTTTACTGGAATGTCATATTTGAGAACATTGCGCATTTATTTTTTTTTTGAGACAGAGTCTCACTCTGTCGCCCAGGCAGGAGTGCAGTGGCACAATCTCCACTGCAGCCTCCGCCTCCTGGTGATTCTCGTGCCTCAAACTCCAGAGTAGCTGAGATTACAGACATGAGCCACCATATCCGGCTACTTTCTGTTTTTGTAATAGAGACAGCGTTTCACCATGTTGGTCATGCTGGTCTGACTTCAGTTGATCTGCCCATCTTGGCCTCTCAAAGTGCTGGGATTACAGGCATAAGCCACTGCACCCGGCCTCATAAAATCTGATTTAAGGAACTAAGGTTGACTTTATGGAGCCACTGCTTACAAAGCCTTCTGGGGAAAATTGTGCTGGTACTCAGCTTGCAGGTTTCCTAGCCTTACATGTGAATGAGGAGGATCACTTCCTGGAAGTCCCAGGAACCTTGGGATATTTGGGGCACCTTAAGATGACAGGAATTTATCCAAATCTGTAGGTACAGAAGCCAAAGTCTGGTGGCAAGTTATTGGCTTGCCCTCCTCTCCTCAAGAGATTTTTAAAAGTCAAGACCAAATTTCCTATAAAAAGTTCCAGTAAAGAGGCCAGGCACAGTGGCTCACAGCCTGTAATCCCAGCATTTTGAGAAGCCCAGGTGGGTGGATCACTTGAGATTAGGAGTTGGAGACAAGCCTGGCCAACATGGTGAAACTCCTGAAGCAGGAGAATCACTTGAACCTGGTAAGCGGAGGTTGCAGTGAGCTGAGATCGTGCCACTGCACTCCAGTCTGAGTGACAGAGCTATACTCTGTCTCAAA